TACAGATAGTTCGGAATGGCTTGCTAGTTCGAACTATCTAGCCCGTGCCGCGTGTAGCCGCGCGGCACGGGGTTTGAACTAGCCGGCATTTAAAAATGGCGCCGGCCGGCTTATGCAAATGAAGCCCGGGAAATTCAAATCCCGGGCTTCATTTGCACGTTCGGTATGCATACATTACCCCGCTAGTTCAAACTAGCGGGGTAGTGTAGACATACCCTCTGGGTCTCCCCAGGGCAGAGGTATACAATGCCTTTGTAGATGTCTTACTGAAGATGTCCTTGAAGGTGAGATCTGTTGGAGGTCATGAAAGGGAAACAGCAGGGATAATGAGACAGGGAGGGACTGGAGGGTGATGGGAAGGTGCAATGGAGGAAAAGATGAAGTAATTAGCTTGGTGGGAGAGAGAAAGAAGAAGGGAGACAAATGCTAAGGAAAGAGTACAGTTTGGATAAGCATCCAGGTTTTGGAGGGCTAATCTGAACTGAAAACACTCAAGGAAACAATACACAGAATGGCTCGCTCCATCATCTCTTTCATGAAAGAAATCACAATCCTGAATATGTGCATTTCCTACCTGATGTCATGACACACAAGCCATTTAGACATGTACACAAGCAGTAGGATTATATGCAGGATATTCAAAATTCAAATTTGAGATTGGCCTCTTACCCCCCAACCAGCTGGATTTTGGAGAACAAGAAGATCCTCCAGGGATAGCAAATGTACCATTTTAATAGCAGTCCATCAAAGATTTCCTTTTCGCCAAGCACAGCACAAAGGGGAATACTATCTGATCACTGAACAAGCCCTTTGGTCAATTCACCTACATTTTTAAGAGCAAGGGAAGACCCTTGTTTAGATTTTTTTTTACACTAAGACAGAAGGGAAAACACTCACAGACAAGCACAAACGTGCTTAGAAGAGGGAGAGCTGGCTAGTAAAAGGATAACTATCCAGAAGAAACTACGAGGAGTCCTGTAGTACCTTAGGGTATGTCTACACTACCCCGCTAGTTCGAACTAGCGGGGTAGTGTAGACATACCCTTATTCACTCCTTGAAGAAAAGTTTAGAGTTTCTTCAGAATGATCTGTAAAAACTTAAGCAAATCATGGGCCAAATCTTGAATCCCATTAAATTCAAGAGGAATTTTGCCATTTAGTTCAGCGAGAGATCTGGAATTGATCCTGTGTCATTTTTCAGCTGGTGCTACAAGTCCTATTCCATTGTTGTGCTCAATTGCTCTTTATTAGACAGTTAGACCAAGGAGGCTTTTTGCTTAGGGAAAAGGGCTGCATGTTTCCTATGGAACAAAGCACAGACTAGTCCTTTTGGATCAAGTTGTCACAAATGGGCAACTAAATTGCTTCCCCAAAATAAAGAACTCAGGGTGCAAATGGATGACTGGCTAGGCAAGTGCTGTATTGAGATCTCTATCATAAGGTTGGTGTCATTAGCCTCTGTGTGCCAGACACGAGGAATGCGTGATGGGATGGCTCACTTGAGGATTGTCTGTTCTGTACTTTCCCTCTGGGGTGCTTGGGATTGGCCACTATTGAAAGACAGGATACTGGGCTAGATGGACCTTTGGTCTGACCCAGTATGGTTGTGTGTATATTCCCTGCTTATGTATGATTACTCTGATCATATAATTTGCCACCTCTTATGTGTTTAACTCATCCACATGTTGTGTATTGTCATAACCTAGATTGAGAACTCTTAGGAGAAGGAATATTTTCACAATGTGTCAGCACGATGGGGCCCTGATTTTTGGCAATGGCCTCTAGATGCTAGACTGTGGTAATATATCACTAGTAATAACAGCTGTGAATGCAAAAGAGGCAACGTCAGGGATAGATTGGGTAAATGCACACACGGGTATCCAGTTGTGTGTTCATCTGCATGTTTTGTAGACTTATCTTACAGCCTATTTTTAAAAAAATGGACCTTTGTTATTTTGCATGTTTAGATGGAATCTATCCCTTTGCAAAATGTGAAAATGTTTACATTTTAGTGATTATCAGGGATGATCTAGGCAGAGGCGTAGCGAGGGTGTTATGCCCCCCAGGAGCAAAGGCAAAATTTGTGCCCTCCAGTCATTTGTTACTACCTGTGGGACTTTACATATTCCAGTCTGCGCCGGGAGGGGAACATGTGAATAGGGTTTGGCTTGGACCCTCTGTGCTGCCCCCGTCCAGCCAAAGTGCAGAATTTGCCACATGGGAAGCAGGAGCTCACAGCCTGCAAGGCGAGTGGGGCCTGGCAGTTTGGGGTGACAGTGAATCGCACCCATGTGGGCGGCTGAAGCTGGAGAATTGATTGAGCTCCGTATGGGGGCAGCGCACTGTGTGCATCCAGTATGTCTGTGCCAAGCCTGGCAGCACGAAGGAGACTCATGAGAAGTATGGGACCCGGGGCTTCCGAAGGAGGCTGATGAGGCTGGGCTGCAAAGAGACCAGGGTTAAAACTGCGGTGTGGGTCCCGGGTGGCATTGTGTTGCAAGCAGCTGCTGCAGCATAGCTGGGCTGGGAGCTGGTCTCTGTAGAGCACTGAGCAATGTCCCCAGCTTTGCTCGTGTTCTTAAGCAGAAAGATGGGACATGTAGGGGGGCTCCAGGCAGGGGGTTCCGGTGTCAGGAGGCAGGTTTGGGACAGGGGGTTGGCGTTTGGAGGGGTGCAGGGGGAGTTAAGGAGTCAGGCAGGGGGTCGATGTTTGGAAGTAGGCTCAGGGACAGGGGTGAGGGTGCAGGAGTCAGGGATGATGGTGGGAGGTGAAGGGCTCATGGCAGGGTGCTGGAAGGCGGGGGTAGCTTACTGGGGCTGTCCAGTGGTGAGTGTGATGCAGCTCTTGTGGCGGATCATCATGGGAGCAATGGACTCCAGGAACTGGCCCCTGTTTCCAGCTACTCTCCTTCAGCAAGTGGGGAGGCCTAGCTCTAGAGGTTGGGCCTCACCTGTAACTATCCCTGCAGCTCTTGGGGTTTGGTCGCTCTGGGATCTGCCCAGCCTGCAGCTGCACCCCAGCTTCCAGCCAGACCGGGATAGGGTGGAAGTTGGAGTCAGGCTAAACTCCATCTGCCACCCCTCCTTCCCCCGAATTCAGGGTCGCCATGGTGGGGTTGCTCCTATGTCGCACAGAGGCTGTCAACATAGAAAGAAGCCGGGTTTCACTGTCTCGCCCAAGCTGTGCTGCAGGGGCTATTCATAGGCAGCTAAATTGGCGCCCCCCTAGTGTGGCGCCCACCCAACTTCTCCTCACTATGCCACTGGATCTAGACAGTGCTTTGTCCTGCTATGAGGGCAGGGAACTGGACTTTATGATCTCTCAAGGTTCTTTCCAGTTCTAGTATTCTATGATTTTTACATATGTGTTCTCTGAACTTAAGCCCCGATCAAGCACAGTACTTAAGCACATGTGTAACTTTAAGCAGGTGAATAGTCCCATTGTCTTCAACTAAACCAGGAGTGAGGAACATTTTTTGGGTGGGGAGGCCACTGGTCCACAGAAAAATCAGTCAGGGGCCACACACAGGTGAGAAGCAAGCAAGCAAAAAACAAACCTTCACTAATGTGGCCCCTGAATGAGGAGAAAGATACTCTGCACATTCCCCTTGCACCCCAGAGCCTAAGGGGCCCAGGCTAATAGATTTTGTGTGCTCTAGGATCCTGGCAGGGGGACGGGCTTGGAGCGCCAGCGTGGGCTCTCCATTGCTGGTGGAAAGCCGTGAGCCTCAGGGGCTAGATTCATGCAAGTCCAGCTAAAGTGACATAATGTAATCAAAGCACTTTCTGGCAGTGATTCGACCCTTCCTAGGCAGACAGTATCCTCTGAAGGAACTTTACGAAGTGTGTGGCATGTAGTGCCATGAGTATAGTGAAACAGCATGGTATCCACTCTCCCCTGGAAATGCTACAGGCATCTTAGATCTTTGCCTCAAAAATGTGGATAGACATGGCCTATTTTTCCTTTTCTTCTCTATCCGGCACCCAAATTGCAGGTAAGTGGTTACAGAGTTTGTCAGCAACTAGAGATGAAACCTCGGGGAGATACCAAACCTTGAGAGAATGTGGGTTTTTTAATTACTTTAAAAATACATTTTAAAGCACTTCTAAAAAACTGCTATGAGAACTGGGAACAGTAAGCTTCAGAAATAACGTTTCTAAGAGTGACCTCAAAAATGATCACAGAACGGTGCTTCCTCCTTGCCTAATTATATTACATTCCCGAAGATTTGATCCTAATCTCATTTACACCAGTGTCTTTGAGGAGTAACTTCATTAGTCTCGGTGGAGTTATGTCCCTGTGGAACTGGTGCTTGGCAAGTGAGGGAGAAGCAAGCCTTTGTGAAATTGTGTAGATGAAATGATTGCTTTGTTACACTTGCAGGAAATGCAGCGGAGACTCCAGCTATATAGTTCACTTTTTACAATTCAGTAGCTGCAAATTGTTTCCAGTAGATAACTAAGTGAGAGAGTTCAAATGTTAGAATTCAGACAAGAATGTTTGCAGTTACTCACAACTTGTGCAATCTTCCTGATGTCGATGAGTTTCACAAATATAAATTAATGCATTATTTAGCCCTGCTCAAATACAGTACTTGGAGATAGGTGACTTTTCCGTAGGTCCTGACCTCCTATGGCTCAGGATATTGTACCATCTTTTTATTATTTATCTCATTTATGGAATATATATTATCTAATCTGCTTAGCTGTGGTATTTCTAAGGCTTTTGACACCTGAGATTCTGATAGCCAACTTACACTATAAGCACATCTTATTTACATAGTAGTGGTGCATCTGTCATCCTATCATCTTGTTAGAACTGACATGTCAAAATTACTGTTTTTAATATTTGACAAGTAGAGATAGCATTGTTAGAAATAAATCAAATCACTGAACTAAGACAGTGGAGTCATGGCCAGATTCTGCTCTCAATTAATGCTGTATAACCTCATTATTTTCAATAGCATTTAATGTGTTTTCCCTAGGTATACACAGCATTGTTTAGTAAGGAGGACAGGAAGAATGGCACTTAGTGTAAAAGGTTTAGATGATTTCTCTGCAATTGCTGGCCTTAAATAAGGTATCATTGTAAAACATAAATCCTGACTTTCTTCTGTTTTATGTTTAGTTGAGGACCCCCTTTGCAACTTCCACCCTCCAAACTTCATTGGGATCTCAGAGGTGGAAATGAGAGGTTCAGAGGATGTTGCAGCTGGAACAGTGTTACAGCGATTGATCCAGGAGCAGCTGAGGTATGGCAATCCAAATGAGAATATGAATCTGCTGGCAATTCAGCACCAAGCCACAGGGAGTGCAGGACCATCCAACAGCACTACAAGCACACTTTCTTCCACAGAAAATCTTGCACAAGAAGACCCACAAATGGTCCAGCAGTCAGCACGCCAGGAACCTCAGGGGCAAGAACATCAGGTGGACAATACTGTGATGGAGAAACAGTCCAGGGCCACTCAGCCTCACCAGAACAATGAAGAGCTACCAACTTATGAAGAGGCAAAGGCCCAGTCCCAGTTTTTCAGGGGCCAGCAGCCAGGTGCTGTTGGCCCAAGTTTTTACATTGCGGGAGTATCCAGTCAGAAATCAAGAACAGAAGGGAGACCAACTGTGAATCGAGCCAACAGTGGGCAGGCTCATAAAGATGAAGCACTTAAAGAACTTAAGCAGGGTCATGTCCGATCTCTAAGTGAGAGGATAATGCAGCTGTCCTTGGAGAGAAATGGTGCTAAGCAACACCCCCCTACCTCAGGGAGCAACAAAGGCTTCAAAGCTGGAGGACCCCCACCCACTCAGCCTTCTGGCAAAGGAACTGATCCCAGAGGTCCTCCGCCTGAGTACCCCTACAAAGCCAAGCAGGTGGTGTCACCAGCCAGCAAGACTCAGGAACACGGGCTGTTTTATAATGACCAACAGTCGGGGATGATGCAGGAGATTCTCAAACCCTCCTATCCTGCTCCGCTGCCAGCAAGACCGGAAGCAGCAGTTGTCAGATATCAACCGCCCCCAGAGTATGGGGTGACGAGGTAATTCTAGCTCCTGGCCTTTGAGGTCCTTGCTTCTGTAAATACTCTTCATCTTTGTTTTAATTAACATTGTAGATGCTTTTAAGCAAAGAGACCTATACTCTCTTAACCTGGCTTCTTTAGCTTTGAAGGTGAACTTCATCTGCTCTATAGCTCTAGAAAACTGAGTGGGTTCATCTGTGGGCATTTGCCCCATTAAACAACTCAAACTAAGGAATCAAATTGCTCCGGACTTTCTCACAGACTTAGAAATATGCTGTGTGGGTCATAAACTACATTTTCTGAAGGGATAACAGTACAACTACACAAGCCCTGATCTTGTGCCCATTGAGGTCAATGAAAAGACTCTAGCTGGCTTGTGTGGGTTCTGGACCTGTATAAACAAATATCTCAAGACTCTGATTCCACTGACATTAGGGCTATTTTACACCATGAGCAGTGCAAAAGAATCTTAAAACATAAGTAAATATAATTTACTCTCATTTCAAGGTCCTTTACACAGAATGATGTAAAGTGGCATTAATGTAAATGAGAATCAGGCTCCGTGATTATAATACCAATGCTATATTTATATAGTGGACTTATATTCTGCTCTGTTAGAGAAGTATAAATCTGGATTAACTCCACTGAAGATTTAGTTGGGGTTGGACTAGATAACCTCTTTAGGTCTTTTCCAACCTTAATCTTCTGTGATAAGGGAGTTTCTCTGGCATTGCACTGCTGTAACTGAAAGCAGAATTGAGTCCAGTCGCCTGGTAATCTCTGAGCTCTCCAGTTTGTAAAAAAAAAAAAAAAAAGTTTTTTTTTAGAAGTTCTTCAGTATCTTAATTCCTATTAATTTCACTTTAAGTATGAACCTAAATGTATCTGAGTATCTTTATGCAACTTGTAGGAGAAAATATATCAGTGAGGTATACAGTTCTTCATTATTAAGCTGAACAGGTGTCCCCATTTTAATGTGAGTTGTTTGAAGTTATAAAGCTATAAGTCACCACCATAGATAGCTAGAGGTGCTATACATTTTCTAACAGTTATTACGGTTCAGTTTCTATAGTAAAAGACACTGTGCTACCCTTCTAAAACCGTATTTATCAGTTGTTTATGAAGAAGTAAGGAAAAATCCTTTGGTCTGAGATTTGACTTGAGATTTGACCTAATAAATTTTAGTCAAGGAGTATAAAAATAAATGAAATAGTGTATTGGCTCTTCTAAAATGAGTGTTGAAAAAACATAAACCATAAAGCCAAACTGTGAGGTAAGGAGTTACCTGCTTATTTTAGGCTCTCTTCATTGGGTATGAATTTCACCAAAGGATGAAATGCTGCCTTGTGCAAAGGGTCCTATGCACCACTTATGTCCCACTTAGATCCTTACAAGTGGGCTAATATGGTACATAATCCCGTGTGCTGGCCTTTTGCACCTTGGGAAAATGCTAAGTTAAGAAGAAGAGCTCTGTATTGGGAGATAAAGAGCTTCAAGGATTTGTGGGTAAATAAACATGGAAAAGATTAACATACCATCAAATATGTGGATTTTTAAAGTCCTCCAGACAGGGGCGACTGGTGCTTGTTTGGGGAAATGAGTGCAGGAAGGGCCACCCAGAGGGGCAGGGTGGGGGCATGTGGGGCACCCCATTTAGCTATTAAAATGTTGGTGGGGACATGAAGAGGTGGTGTGCCAAATGCTACCACGAGTCACCTATGCCTCCAGACCTAAGGAAGAAGGAGAGCTGTTGTTCAGGAAAATCAAGAAAGAATTGCTAAGAGTCATAAAAGTTCATAAAAGTCATCTTAAAATGTTACCTTCTGTGGACTGACTCCTGAGAGCTAGTGGAAACCAGCTGAGCCACACAGCTCTCACTGAGTTCTCATGTTCCTGTTTCAGAGTGGAGCATGGCCGCCTGCATGCCTTAAACCAAGGGTGAGCAATCATTGTTGGTGGGGGGGCCACTCCAAGGCTTTGATAAGTGGTCAAGGGCCGTACTTTGCTGTGGAGGAGGTGTAGGGTCTAGGATGGAGGCTGGGTGCAGAAGGGTGAACGGGGTAAGGGACTGAGGTGTAGGAGATGGCGTAGGGTCTGAGGGTGTTTGGGTGAAGGAGGGGATTATGACCCAGGTCAGGGACGTGCAGTGGGTTTGGTGGCAACCTGGGGCAGGGAGTTGCGGTGTGGGAGGGTCAGAGGTGCCAGAGGCAGGCTCTGGCTGGGAGGTGCTTACCTAAGCATCTCCCAGCCTGCAGCACCCCGAAGGAAGGCTGGGCTCCCTGCCTGGTGCAGCCCCAGACCGCTTGAAAATACAGGCTATTCCCTCCATATGGCTCTCAGCTCTGGTTGGGGGATGAGGCTTGCCCTGCCCCCATCTCCCAGGCCAACCTCTCAGCTCCGATTGGCTGGCTGTTTCCAGCCAATAGGAGCTGAGAGATTGGCTGAGGTCAGTTCTTATTGGCCGATTGTTTCTGGCAATAGGAGCTGAGCATTGGGCTGGGGACAGGGAGATCACATGAAGCTTCCCCCCCCCCCCCCGCTACAGAGGAGAAAAACATAGGGACTGCACTTTAAACAGCTGGCAGCTACATGCCTGAGGGTCCCAGCAGGGTGGTCAGATCTGGTCCCTGGGTCATATTTTGCCCAGCCCTGCCTTAAACAATGAGGCTTCCACCATTCCCTAGGGAATTATCAACGGTCCCATGAACCACAGGACACTTTTTCTGATTTATCTAACCTCTGTTTCACCCTACGACTCTTAGCAGTTCCTTCCTGGTCTGCCTGAATTACATCTCTCTGCCGTCCTTGGATCTGGAGGCTTTAATCATCCACATACAGTCAAACCTGTGTTATCTGGCATGCTCGGGGATTAGGGCGTTCTGGTTATCTAAAAATTCCAGTTATCTGAGGGTCCCATCAACCTAGGAAAAACCAATGGACAATAAGGGTATGTCTACACTGCCACCCTAGTTCAAACTAGGGTGGCTAATGTAGGCATTCGAACTTGCAAATGAAGCCCGGGATTTAAATATCCCGGGCTTCATTTGCATGGTTCCGGGTGGGCACCATTTTTAAATGCCCGTAGTTCGAACTACCTGCCCGCGGCTACATGCGGCACGGACTAGGTTGTTCGAATTAAAGTTCCTAATTCGAACTACCATTATTCCTTCTGCAAGGAGGTTTAACAGTAGTTTGAATTAGGAGCTTTAATTCTTACTACCTAATCCATGCCGCATGTAGCCGCGGGCAGGTAGTTTGAACTACGGGCATTTAAAAATGGCGCCCGCCCGGGAACATGCAAATGAAGCCCGGGATATTTAAATCCCGGGCTTCATTTGCAAGTTTGAATGCCTACATTAGCCACCCTATTTCGAACTAGGGTGGCAGAGTAGACATACCCTCATAGTAAAAGTCAAGTTTTTAATATTGGTAGTTTTGTAGTGTGAGGCAGTTGGTCTCACATTTCTATTTTGAGGTAAAGATAATTAGTACTTCTTAAATAAAAAATTGTTAAGCCAATCATGGTAAACCGAGCCAGGCCTGTGTGCCTGAAGATGTGACAGTATTGTGGCTTGGGGGCAATGCCGGTTAACAAAGTTTTCTGGTTAAAAGAGTGTCAGATAACAAAGGTTTCACTAGCTTCATGGGGTAGCCAAGTTAGTCTGTATAGAAAAAAACAACAAATGGTCTGGTAGCATTTTATAGACTAAAAAAACATGAGCTTTCATGGGCACAGCCCACTTCTTCAGATGCCTGGAGTTTTGAGTTTAGGATGGGCAGACCCAAAATAAATAGGAGAGAAGGCACGGGGGGTGGGAGGAGAGAAAAAAAGAGGGGTGGGAGACAGGGAGCAGAGGGTATAGAAAATTCGGGAAGATAGAGGGAATAAGTTTCACTGTATTTGATGCCAGGTTAATGTTTTCCAAGTTAAGTGATCTTATTAGATATTTATTGACCAATAAATTCTTGAAGCTCCTTAGACTTTAACTCACAAATGCAGAGTTCGTCTTCTTTCCCCAGCAGTGGTCATGGGATCCAATGGACATGGTGGGGAAAGGGGCCAGCTTCATGTTCCTGGAAATGGCGGGGCCTCCGGCGTAAGGAGCAGATCTGGGGCAGCAAGCATGCCTTATTGCGTCCCATCCCCGATTCCTCAGTGCCAGGCAGGGTGCAGCACACCCTCCCTCCAGCTGTTCCCCGTGGTCCTCCAGTGGCGATTTAAAGGGCCCAGCAGTAGGGTTGTAAGCGAGTAGTCGACTAACCGATAAGCCTAGGCTTATCGGTTAGTCAAGTAGACTACTCACATTTCCCCCCTGCCTTTGCTGCCTCTGATATGAGGAGGAGAGGAAGCAGGAGCTGGTGCTGTCTATCTCTCCCCCTCCCCCTGCACTACTTCTGTCAGAGGCAGCAATGCAGGGGGACATGGAGAGGCTGTCCAGTAGCTCCTCTCTGGGACCCCCTGCGGACAGGGCTGCTGCTGGAGCAGCCTCTGCCCGCGGCCAGTCTGGAGCACCATGACAGCCCAGCTCAGTCCCAGCTGGTGCTGGGTCCAGGACCTACCCCCCCACTGTGGCTCTGCAGTTTAAATATAATAGGAGCTGGGCTGCCTGCCTGCTCCGCTCTTGCTCTATTTAAACTGCAGAGTTGCAGTGGGATAGCTCCTGTAGGACCCGGTGTGAGCCAGGACTGCTTCTATCCTTATTGACTAATTGTGTAGTCGACTACATGATTAGTGAATTACCTGGCTCTTAACATACTTACCCAGGACTCCAGTTGGCCCTTTTCTCCTTCCCTCCCCTTCCATTGCCTCTTCTCCTTTGGTGGGCCTTGTACTGGCCCAAGGTGCACTTGGAGTACAATCTGCATTCCCAGGCGAAGCTCGGCATTTAATTTTTTTTTTTAAGCATAAATCAGAGCATGAAGGTTTCCTTATTGTGAATGTCTGAAATATTGTAGTTTACTTGTTAATTTGCAAAATGAGGGCAGGTAAAGATGGTTGCTCATTCCAATAGTGCAAT